GTTCACCCCACTTGGACGTTCGACCAGCTCCCAAGTGCCCATGCCGATGAGGCTGTGGATCTCTTCTTCCATGGCGGCCTTCATCGCCTCGCCCTTCCAGCTCGCCAACGCCTCTTTGAACGTCATCGTGGCGATGTCCCAGCGGTGTTCGGGGTCGGCATGCACGTCGGGGTCGAGCTCCGGCAGTTCTTCATCCTCCTCGGCGTCGTCGTACAGCAGGTCATCGTCGACCTCGTCGTACACCGTGGTGAAGGCAGCTGGCGGTAGGCAGGCGTGGACGCTCAGCCGCTCTGGCGGCCGTCGAGCTCGACTTGTGCATCGCAGCTCAGGCTTTGTGATCGGCACCTCCACCACGTCGCTGTCGGTGGACTCCTCACCCGCCGACTGCTCCTCTTCCTCGTCGACATCATCGTCATCGACCAGCTGCTTCGACCCTTCGACCGGCTGCTCACCTGCTGCTGACTTCGACAGCTCCCCTGTCGACCGCCCCGGCTGCTGCTCCCTTGTCGACTGCATCCCTGCTGCTGCCTCCTGTCGACCGGCTCCCCTGCTGCTGCCTCCTATTCGACCAGCTCCCCTGTCGACCGCCCCGCCTGCTCATCCTGCTCGACGAGCTTGGCGCCTTGTCGACCGCCGGCGATGCCACTGGCCGGCGCCACAGGCAACGCCTCAAGGCTCACCTCATCGCCGGTGGCCGACACTGGCGTCGAGGCTGGCCGATCTGCGAAAGGGAAGGGAGGAGCAAGAACAGGGGGAGGTGGAAGAACCTCCACAACATTCTCATCAGCAGGCTCGTCGACTTCGGCGAGCAGTGGAACCGTCGCCGTCGAGGTGTCCGTCGGCGGGTGTGCCTGCGTCCGCCCCGACGCCGGCCCATACTTCGCCTTCCACACCTCCAGCGACAGCGTCTCGTAGAAGATCACCTCGACCAACGTGACCACCTTGTTGTCAGTCAGGTCGAGCACCTCCCAGCCCTTGCTCTCCGGCGACACACCCAGGTGAAGCCCCCAGCGAGCTTTCGGCGCCAGCTTCCCACCGCGCTGCTGCTCGGGGATCATGAATTGCACCATGCATCCCCACACCCGCGCCAGCGTGAGGTCGGGCTTCTTCCCGGTCAGCAGCTGGTACGGAGTCGTCCCCAGCGGCGTCGTCGACCGCTCCAAGCAGTTGCGCACCCAGACAGCTTGGCGTAGAGCGAGGTGCCACCAGTTGTGCTGCACGCCCATGTGCAGCAGCATCGTCCGCACGGACTCGACGACTGTGCGCATCTCCCGCTCAGCCATGCCGTTCTGCTGCGGAGTGTAGGGGCACGTCAAGTCGTGGATGATGCCCTTCCCGTTGACGAAGTTGGTGAACGCCTTCCCGAGGAACTCCCCTCCTTGGTCAGAGCGGAGCGACAGCACCGACTTCGTCATCTGTCGCTCTACCAGCACCAGCCACTGTTGGAATTCCCGCAGCACATCGCTCTTCTTAGCGACCAGCATTGCCCACACGAACCGAGTGTGGCGATCCTTCACCAGCAGGAAGTACAAGCTGCCGTCCTTGGCAGCCACCCGAAATGGCCCGCACAAGTCAATGTGCAAGACAGCCAGCGCCTCCTCGGCGTCCGAGCCCTTGTCGGGGAAGGTGTGTCGCGCCAGCTTTCCTCCGACGCACGAGACACACGGCGGGTCTGCTCCGGTCGACGGCGTGATGTCGAGCCCAGTAGCAACTTCATGCTTTGCCGAGCTCTTGATTGTGTCGACGCCGACGTGCGCGAGCCTCGCATGCAACCGGTTAGGGGTCGACTTCGTCGCCGAGACGATCGTCCGTAGAGCCACCACCTCGGTCGACGGCGACCGCGTCGAGCAGGGGCGAAGGTCGGTGCAGAGAACTCGTCCGGTGTAGCGTGCTTGACCGAGCACCTCCCCTGTCGCGGCGACGAGCAGCATCTCGTCACTGTCGCCCTGCAGCTGCACTCCGCTCTCCTTCAGTTGGCCAGCTGATAGCGAGTTCGCCTGGACGCCCGTAACGTAGAGCAAATCGGGGATGAGGACCCGCTTTCCGGCCTCCCCTTGCAAAGCGACGGTTCCGCGACCCTCGACAGGCTGCAACGCCCCATTGAAGCCGCGCACATGCTTCACACCGTCGCTCGGCGCCATGTCGACGAAGACCGCCTTCGTCCCCATCAGGTGGTGGGAGCACCCGCTGGCGAGCAGCACCGCCATCGGGTTGGCCTGCACAGCTGCCGCCACCGCCTGGAAGTCCTCGCCAGCCTCCGGCGCCAGCGAGACCGTCGACTCCACCAAGCCGACCATCGAGCACAACGCCTCCTCGTCGCCTCGGCCCTTGCCGCTGGAGCTGTCGACGGTATCTTCTTCGACGTCTGCTTCCCCTTGCGCGGCTTTGCATCTCGATGGGGGCGACGGCTGGTCGACCGGCCATGGCCTCCCTTGGTGTCGTCCTCGTCGCTGTCGTCGCGGTCGGGGCACTCGTAGCAAAGGTGGTCGGGGTCGTGGCAGATCCAGCACCACCACCTCCACGGCCCTTGTCCCGCGTCGACCTCTTCACGTCGACGTCCTTCTTCGACCGCCCACCTCCGCTACCACCTCCGCCCAACTTCCCGCGCTGCCCTTGCTGCTGATTCAGCTTCGTCGGTGCAGCGTAGTTTGCCTGCGGAAGGAGCTCCGTGGGCTGTTCGGCCTCCTGCATTGCCTCGTCTTGAAGGATGTAGCTGGTGATGGAGTCCTCGTCGAGAGACTCACGCGTGCCGGGCACCATCATCATCCTCTTCATGAGGTTGTAGCCGCGCGGCAGGCCCTTGACGATGTGGGTGATGTAGGACGCCGTCGAGTATTCGGCGCCCGCCATCCGCATCTCATCCAGGATCCGTCGAGCACGGTTGCAGTAGTTCGTTGCCGACTCCTCCTCGCCCATCCGAATGTGTGTCATCTTCTCCTCCAGCTATCCGATGTACAGGTCGTCCCTGACCTGGTACGTCGACAGGATAAAGTGCCATGCCTGGTGACCAGCATCCAGTCGCTCTCGACATCTCCTGAGCGCCAGCTGCACCACCGGCGAGCAGCACCTCGAGATGACCATGAAGGTGAGCAAGTGGGCCGCATGAAACTCCCCGCGCAGCTCGACATCGTCCACGGGCGGAATTGGCACTCTGCCGTCGGCGAAGCCCTTCAGTCCGGCGACCTCCAGCTGAGGTTCTATCGACTCCCTCCAAGTGATGAGGTCCCGTCGACCTTGCAGCGGTGCGACGGTGATCCGGTCCGGTGAGAACTTGAAGTAGCCATACGCCGGTGCAATCCCGCCCGCCGTCACATGCGTCGTCGCCGAGAGCCCTCCACCGCTTCGTAGAGGAGAGCGACGTCGACCATCGACGTCGGCACGCGAGCTGCCTGCAGCCGCTGTCGACCGCTGCACTCGCGCCTGAATCCTGTCGACTCCACCGTCGACCTTGATCACCCCTCTCTGCTTCGTGCCTTCGCTGCTGCTGACTCGTGCACCACCGTCGACCTCGTCGAAGACGCCACCTTCGTTGCGCACCGGTCGAGGAGATGCAGGACGGGAAGGGTGTTCCGTCGCCCACTGCGACTAGATGCCCAACTCGGCGATCACTAAGGGGATCGTCCCGTACTCGCCATCCGCGTGGCGTCTCCTCGCGTCTGCCAAACGTGCCTCCAAGGTGTCCGCTACGCCTGCATTAGCTACGGGGTCGACCATGGCGACTAATGTTGCTGCCGGCCTACGAACGACTTAGTAGGTGCAAAAGTCGGCTCCTATCTGAAGGTAATCTATCGGGATCAGGCCGTAGAAGTGGCATGGCAAGCAGGGTGCAGGGCAGGCAGCATCAAGAAACACCCTGCTAGCCACATCTAGGGCCTGTCAGCTTGACAGGTCACAGCACTTTTCTGTCAGGTTCTGTTCATCCAACTCCCACTCATCCTTGCCCTTTCCCCTTCTTCCATCTCCCAGGGTGCATGGTGCAGGAAGCAGGGTGCATGAGGGGAGATACTGAGTGCTTGTGTGGATATCCCTGACCCGGCCGTCCATTACACTCCCCCCCATCCTTGCCCGTCCCTCCCCCTTTCTCCCTCTACCAGGGCGACACGATACACACAGCAGGCAGGGTGCATAGAAGGGCACCAAGCACTTCCCACCCCTCTGTTCAAATCCTTCCCATCCCTTCCCCTTTCTCCCTCTATCAGGGAGGGGCGCTACACACAGCAGGCAGGGTGCATAGAAGGGCACCAAGCACTTCCCACCCCTCTGTTCAAATCCTTCCCATCCCTTCCCCTTTCTCCCTCTATCAGGGAGGGGCGCTACACACAGCAGGCAGGGTGCATAGAAGGGCACCAAGCACTTCCCCACCCCCCCGTTCAAATCCTTCCCATCATTACCCATCCTTCCTCTTTCTCCCTCTATCAGGGCCAGGCCCTGCATGCAGCAGGCAGGGTGCAGGAAGCAGGGTGCACAGAGGGGCACCAAGCACTTCCCCGCCCGCCCATTCAACTCCTTCCCATCCTTGCCTGTCCTTCCCCCCCTTGGTGCCTCTCCCAGGGCCAGGCCCTACACGTAGCAGGCAGGGTGCAGGAAGCAGTGGAAGCCAACGAACGCGCTGCCGCCACCCTCCTCTCATCTCATCCCATCCTTTTCCACCCTTCTTTGCCAATCCAACCCCCTCCCATCCTTGCCTATTCCCCTTCGCCCTTTAATCAGGGCCAGGCCCTGCATGCAGCAGGCAGGGTGCAGGAAGCAGTGGAAGCTAATGAACGCGCTGCCGCCCTCCTCTCATCCCATCCTTTTCCATCCCCCATCCTTGCCCATTCCTTCCCCTCGCTCCCTCTCCCAGGGCCAGGCCCTACGCGTAGCAGGCAGGGTGCAGGAAGCAGTGGAGGCTAACGAACGCGCTGCCACCCTCGTCTCATCCCATCCTTTTCCACCCTTCTTTGCCAATCCAACCCCCTCCCATCCTTGCCTATCCCCCTTCGCCCTTTAATCAGGGCCAGGCCCTCCATGCAGCAGGCAGGGTGCAGGAAGCAGTGGAAGCCAACGAACGTGCTGCCACCCTCGTCTCATCCCATCCTTTTCCATTCCCCCTCTCCGCCAATCCAACCCCCTCCCATCCTTGCCTATTCCGCTTCGTCCTGTGATCAGGGCGGGGCACTACACACAGCAGGCAGGGTGCAGGAAGCAGTGGACGCCAACGAACGCGCTGCCGCCCTCCTCTCATCCCAGAACCTCACCAGCCCTGCCACGTCAGCGCCCAGCTCCTACCCTGCCACGTCAGCAGATGACACGTCAGCAGAGGACACGTCAGTAGCAGCAGCCAGCTCAGCGGAGTGGGTGATGACGACGTCAGCGGTGTGGGCGGTGGTGGGGCTGTCGTACCATTGGCTGCCGGATGCTGACAAGGCTGAGAGGGCGTTCCGATTGGCTGTTGAGGCGGACCCCCGGTGGGTGAGAGAGACGGAGTAAGAGGGTTATTTGAGTTCTGGCACTGTGGGCTGAAACTGGGCCCGGTAAGGTGGGCAGTGCATAGGCGGATGCAGATAAGGCTGAGAGGGCGTTCCGATTGGCTGTTGAGGCGGACCCCTGGTGGTGAGTGAGAGAGGGGAGAAAGAGGTTCACTGGAGTTAAAGTCAACGCCTTTCCCCCACCCCTCTGCCGCCCCCCTCTGCCGCCCCCCTCTGCCGCCCCCCTCTGCCTGCCCTACCCTCTTCCCTTTGTTGCAGGACAGGCGGGCAGACACCTGTAGGGCAATAGGAAGAGGGTAGGGCAGACAGGGCATGCCCGAATGAGCCATCTGCCCCCACCACAAGCATTGCATCACAAGTCGACTCCCCTCACCCCTCTCCCGACCCCTCTTCCCCTCTGTTGCAGCGCAGGAAACGCAAGGCCTACTAGCACTGGGCATGACCGAATGAGTTTGCCCCACCCCTCTCCCCATCCCTCTTCTCTCCCCTCCCCTCCCCCTTTTTTTGCAGCGCAGGAACCCCAAGGCATACCAGGGTTGTGCAATGCACCGACAGGAACAGGGGACAGGGGACTTGAAAAGCAAGGCAATGCGGATAAACCACAAGGCCTCTCGCCTCCCCTCCCCCCTTTTCTGTAGCCCAGGATCCCCAAGGCCTACCAGGGTTGGGCAATGCACCGACGGATAGCAGGGGACATGAAAACTTAGGCAATGCGGCTACAGGCACCCCAAGGATAAACCACAAGTCCTCTCCTCTCTGCTCCTCCCGCTTTGCTCCAGTGCAGAAACCCCAAGGCCTACCAGGGTTGGGCAATGCACCGACGGATGGCAGGGGACTTGAAGTGAGTACGAGGGAAAAGGGGCCTGCGGCTACAAGCACCCCAAGGCTTACCAGCACTAGGCATGGCTGGCTGGCCGAGCACTGAACCCCGAGGCCTCTCCCCTCCCCTCCCCTCCTTGCGGCTGCAAGCACCCCAAGGCTTACCAGCACTGGGCATGGCTGGACAGGCACTGAACCCCGAGGCCTCCCCTCTCCGCTGCTTCCCCCCTTTGCTGCAGCGCAGGAATCCCAAGGCCTACCAGGGTTGGGCAATGCACCGACGGATGGCAGGGGACCTGAAGTGAGTGCGGGGTGTAAGCGCTTGGGGAAGCTGAGAGTGAGTGAGAGTGAAGGGTCAGTTTGGATGGAGTGTGTGGGAGCGGTGTGGGAGAGTTCGGAGGGAGAGAGAGTGGTGGAAGAGGAAGAGTGTTGTCCGGGTTTGGCATCATGCCATCATACCCTCATGCCATCATGCCATCATGCCCTCATGCCATCATGCCATCACACCATCATGCCATCATGCCATCATGCCATCATGCCATCATGCTATCATGCCATCATGCCATCATGCCATCATGCTCTCATACTTGCTCTCTCCACACTTCTCCCCTGCATCCTCTCCCACACCAGGGGCACCATTTCTCTCCTTGCCAAGTGGTTCTCCCTCTCCCCCAGCAACCCCAAGGACCACTCGTCCTCCTCTCCTTCCCCTTCCTCGCCTCACCGTGCCCACGTGTTGCTCTCCCTAACCGCTTATCCCCTCCCTCACACCAGAGGCACCGTTTCTCTCCTTGCCAAGTGGTTCTCCCTCTCCCCCAGCAACCCCAAGGGCCATCTCCCCTTTTTCTCCCTCTCCCACAGCAACCCCAAGGGCCATCTCCCCTTTCTCCCTCTCCCACAGCAACCCCAAGGGCCATCTCCCCCTTTTCTTCCTCTCCTTCCACTTCCCTCCCCTCATCGTCCCACGTGCTTGCTCTCCCCACGTGCCTCCATTTCACCCTCCACCACACCAGGGGCACCATCCCTCTCCTCGCCAAGCGGTTCTTCCTCACTCCCCGCACCCCCTAGGACCATCTTTTCTTCCTCTCCTTCCCCCTTCATCCCCTCATCGTGCCCACGTGTTGCTCTCCCTACACGCTTATCCCCCTCCACCACACCAGGGGCGCCATTCCCCTCCTCACAAAGTGGTTCTCCCTCGTGCCTCGCACCCCCAGGGATCATCTCGCCTTGGGCTGCTGTCGCCAGGCTCTGGGGCACATGGCACATGCGGTGAGTGCAGCACTGAAAGGGGTCTGGGGTTCAGGGTGTGGGGTATGTGGTGTTGATGCCTGGGTTTTCTCCCTCGCCCCTCGCACCCCCAAGGAACATCTCACCCTGGGCTGTTGTCGCCAGGCTCTGGGGCACATGGATGGCACATGCGGTGAGTGCAGCACTGAAAGGGGTCGGGTTCAGGATGTGGGGTATGTGGTGTTGATGCCTGGGTTTTCTCCCTCGCCCCTCGCACCCCCAAGAACCATCTCACCCTGGGCTGTTGTCGCCAGGCTCTGGGGCACATGGATGGCACATGCAGTGAGTGTAGCACCGCGCACGGGTCATGCATTGGGGCTAAGTTGGAAAAAATGCAGATTCGAAATTGCGTATTGAGTTTATACGCATATGGAATTCGTACGCTGCGTATTATGTTGAGATTCGCCAAAGTTTGCTCGGGCTGACCCAAAAAAACAAGTTGAGTTCGCAATCTGGCGGCGAACTCAAAAATTGAGCCTCGAAGCTCAGATCTGAGTTCGCACATTGCGTATGCAACCTCAGATCTGAATTTCGAAGTTGTTTGTGAATCATCCCCTCCTATCCACCGCTCAATAACCCACTCCATCCCCATCAATTACCAATCCCTTCCAGCTTTGTCGTAGACACTTCAATGTTAAGTCAGATTTTCCTTCGATGCTCTGCGTTCGTTTTCTTCCCTTCTTATCTCACCCGCGACGATGACCTCCAGTACTACAGCAGCTCCCGTTTTCATCTCGGGCCAGCGAATTCTGTGCGTACCAGACCCCCTACAGGCCAGCGTTCTGCACGGGGAAAAGTTTTTTCCTGCCCGGGCAAGCGGATTCTTGTGCGAACCAGACCCCTCACGACCAGCGTTTTGCGTTTAGACGCTAGCGTTTATACGAAAGCGTACTAAACGCAAAACGCGTTTTTTCCAACTTAGCATTGGGGGGGTAGAAGTAAGGTTTAGGGTTGACATTACCAATCGCCCCTCACACCTCCAAGGACCATCTCACCTTGGGCTGCTGTCGCCAGGCCCTGGGGCAAATGGCGCATGCTGTAAGTGTTATGCCCATTCACCCATGCCCATTCACCCATGCCCATTCACGCATGCCCATTCACCCATGCCCATTCACCCATGCCCATTCACCCATGCCCATTCACCCATGCCCATTCACCCATGCCCATTCACCCATGGCCATTCACGCATGCCTAATCCCACATGCCCATTCCCACATACCCATACTCACACATGCTCCTGCACATATGCCCCTGCACTCATGCCCATCACCATCATCCATCACCACCCACCGCCGCACACCACCACCCTCCACCGCACACCACCGTGCAGGTATCCGCATTCACTCGCATCATTGACGCCCCATCCGACCCTGAAGATGCTCCCATCCTCTTCCACGCCTTCTACCAGGTAGGCTGTGGTGGGTGATAGGTGCCTTGTAGGGTTACCACCATGTATCACCACCCTCCACCGCACACCACCACACACCACCGTGCAGGTATCTGCCCTCACTCGCATCATTGACGCCCCATCTGACCCTCTAGATGCGCCCATCCTCTTCCTCGCCTTCTACCAGGTAGGCTGTGGTTGGAAGTGGTAGGTGCTTCGTGGCTTCTATAGATTCTCAAGTGATATGCATGTATGGCATGGCATCTCATCCTCTTCCACGTAAGCTTTGAGAGTGCTGTGTGCCTTTCAGGGAATTGTCAGGTGGTTTTCAGGGAATTAATAGGAGTTTATGAATATGTGGCTATCAGGTGGCTATCTGTTGTCTTATTGGGAATATGAAGGTAGTATCATGGACCTGAACGCCCTACCTCTGTTACTCTCTGTTTTTTTAGTATTCCCCTTTCACTTCACTTCTTATGTCCCATTTCCCCGGCTGTGCCTTGAAATCCCAGGTGTCTCAACTCGATATGTCCCTCTCTCCGCTTCCTTCCTTATCCTCGTCTGCCCTCGTGCCCCTATCGTAGTGTGAGATCGCCAGATTCAAGGCTATGCTTTCCAGCAACGCCTTTTGTCAAAGGTGCCTCCAAGTCCCGTGTCCCTCTCCCACTCCCTCCGTTTTTCCCCTGTCACCTCATATCCCTCACAGCGTGAGATCGCCACGTTCACGGCAATGCAACTCGACAGCTCTTTTAGTGACTTCTCCATCGAAGGCTCATTCAGCACCAAGTTCCTGGTGAGGGCATGCAGAGGGGCGATGGCAAGAGAATGCAGGCAGTATGAGGGAGGGATGGTTAGGGAGGGATGGTGAAAGCATGCAGACAGTATGACTTCCACAGCAATGCATCTCGACAGCTCCTTCAGTTACTTCTCCATCAAAGGCTCATGGGTAAGTAGCTTCAGTTACTACTAGCGACCCTGCGCTTTCAAGGGGACTACAGTGCTATATGCGGGCACTTTCCGCCACTCCGCCACTCCGACAGGAACATTATGGCAACAACACAGAACTCGGTCCCACATTCACCCACGTGTCATAAATTTCGCAAGCCACTGGAAAAAATATCCCTTTACCTGACCGAAAAAACTAAAACCCAATCGGGAAGGGATGCGTTTTGGGGAGGCATCAACCCTAAAAAAAATGTGGGTTCCCGTGTTTAGGGTTGATCCCTCCCGAAGATGAGTCCAGGTTCCCTATGGGTTTTATTTTTTTTGCCGTGCGTTTTCTAACTTTCCAAATTTGTGACACGTGGGTGAATGTGGGACCGAGTTCTGTGTTGTTGCCAAAATGTTCCTGTCGGAGTGGCGGAGGGGCGGAAAGTGCCCGCAACTAGCACTGTAGTCCCCTTGAAAGCGCAGGGTCGCTAGTAGTACCCCTGCGAAAGCTACTTACCCAAGGCTCATTCAGCACCAAGTTCCTGGTGAGGGAGGACGGGGGGGACGGTGGGAGTATGCAGGCAGTATGAGGGAGGGATGGTGAAAGCATGCAGACAGTATGAGGGAGGGATGGTGAAAGCATGCAGACAGTATGAGATTACCACATTCACAGCAATGCATCAGCTCCTTCTGTGACTTCTCCATCGAAGGCCCGTTCAGCACCAAGTTCCTGGTGAGGGCATGTAATGGGCGTGGGGAAGGGAGGGAGGTGGTGAGGGAGTATCAACTCCCAAGGGTCCTGGGGGCGACGAAGTGTAACTGGAGTGCATTATCCATGGACCTTTTTGTACGTTCCCGAGGGGGAATCTGTTGAGGCATTGGCTTATCCGGCAATCAACATCCGTTGTAGTCTAGTCGGTTAGGATACTCGGCTCTCATCCGAGAGACCCGGGTTCAAGTCCCGGCAACGGAAACTGTTTTGCTGGTTTGAGGAACCTCAATTCAGTGTGCTGTCAGCTGAAACTTAACCCTAATAAGTGGCTAAATGTGTACGATTAATTTCACTCTAACATACTCTTTGTTACCGGAGTGTTTCTGAGAAAACTTTGAGAGCATTGTCTGACGAAGCGAGCAATGAGAGTTTTTATTTTTCCTTTCTTAGTGATACTTCTATTCTATGCCTTTCCCCTGTGCAGCTCCAGCTCTCACTTCCGTTGCTTCAGAACCACTGATACTTTAGTCGACTACAAATAGGGCCGCAAGGAGGACCGAAGAAACCTCTTCCCCGGCTATGCTTTGCTGCCCCCTGCTGCCCCCTGCTGCTTCTCTTAGTCTTCTCCCTTTCCCTTAATCCTTCCTGCCCCCTGCCCCCTGCCCCTTCCCATCCCTGCCCATTCCGTGCCATCCTCCCATCCGCTTTCAGAACCACTGGGCGTACAAGAAGGATCCGAGGAATCTCTTTCCCTGTTATACCATGCTGCCCCCTGCTGCTTCTCTTAGCCTTCTTCTTTTCCCCTCACTGTTCCTTTCCTGCCCCTTTCCTATCCCCTTCCAACCCTCCCACTACCCCCTTCAGAACCACTGGGCGTACAAGAAGGATCCGAGGAACCCCTTTCCCGGTTACACCATGCTGCCCCAGGCTGCCTCTCTTTCTCCCCTCCCTCTTCCCTTAACCTTTCTGTTCCGTTTTGTCCCATACCCTGCCCACACCCTTCAGAACCACTGGGCATACAAGAAGGATCCGAGGAATCTCTTTCCCGGTTACACCATGCTGCCCCAGGCTGCTGCCTTTGCTCCCCGCGGCCCGCCTCGACGGGCGGCAGAGGAGGAATTGAAGGAGAGGGAGAGGTTGGTTCAGGCGGCGGATCTTATTGGTCGGCGAGTGCAGTACAGCAGTGTTGGCAACGTTATGAATAGGAGAGCGGTGAGCAATACCTGTTGGGAGGGGTGGATGGAGGGCTTGGGGTGGGGAAGTGAACTTCATTGGTCGGCGTGTTCAGTACAGCAGTGTTGGCAACGTTATGAATAGGAGAGCGGTGAGCAATACCTGTTGGGAGGGGTGGATGGAGGGCTTGGGGTGGGGAAGTGAACTTCATTGGTCGGCGTGTTCAGTACAGCAGTGTTGGCAACGTTATGAATAGGAGAGCGGTGAGCGATGGTGGTTGTTGGGAGGGGTGGGGAATGAAAGGGGGAGGGTGGTTGGGGTGGTTAACTTGATTGGTGGGCACATCCACTACAGCGTGTTGGCAACGTTATGAACAGGAGAGCGGTGATCGACGGTTCTTGGGTTGAATGGGACGAAGGATGAGTTGGAGAGAATGGCTGGTTTGGGGCGGGCAAATCTGATTGGTCAGCGCGTGCAATACAGCGCGTTGGCAACGTCGTGCATAGGAGAGCAGTGAGCGGAGGGGTGGGGGATGAAAGGGGAGGATGGATACCATGGGATGGGCGGCTGAATTGATTGGTCGCTATGTTGAGAAAGACGCGTCCTGCGTCCTGGACGCATGCAGCTGCATTTCTCAACATAGATTGGTCGGCGTGGGAAATACAGCTGTGTTGGGAATGTCTTGAATGGGAGAGCGGTGAGCAATGGTTGTGGGGAGGGATGGGTGGATGGTTTGGGGCAATTGACTCACTGTTTTGGCGCGTGCAGTGCAGCTGCAGTGTTGGCAACATAGTGAATAGGTAGGAGAGCAGTGAGCGATGGTGGTTGGGAGGGAGGGATTGAGGGTCTGGGAAATTGACTTGGCGTTTAGGTGCGTGCAGTATAGTGGTGTTGGCAACGTTGTGAAAAGGTCTGAGAGCAGTGAGCGATGATGGTTGGGAGGGATGGAGGACAATATGGGGAGAGGTTGGTTTAGGTTGATCGTGATGATTCTCAAAATCAACCTACAACTAAGGGGTATGCAAATCTGGAAGAATGCAGGTTTGGGCATGGCAGGGTGGTTTAGCGAGGCTGATTTAGCAAGGGTGGTTCACTCCTTGTCACCGCTCTTCACCCCTCCGTGTTACTCCCAACCGACAGCACAGGGCAGCAGGCATGGCAGCGCTGGAAGTGATGCAATCAGCACGCCCCCATTCGCTCCTACACAACTCTCTTGCATCCCTCGTCACCACTCTTCACTCGCCGTTTACCCCCATTCACCCTGCTGTTTTTTTCCGAATCGGCAGCACAGGGCAGCGGGCATGGCGGCGCTGGAAGTGATGCAATCAGCACGCGCCATTCCCTCCTTTGCAACTCCCTTTACTCCTTGTCACCGCTCTTCACTCCCTGTTTATCCCCATTCACTCTGTTGTTTCTCCCAACCGACAGCAAAGGGCAGCGGGCATGGCAGCGCTGGAAGTGATGCAATCAGCATGCGCCATTCGCTCGTATGCAACTCCCGATACTCCTTGTCACCGCTCTTCACCACTGTTTACCGTGCATTTTTTTTTTTTGTTTTTTTGGCAGCAACGGGCAGCAGGTATGGATGCGCTGGAAGTGATGCAATCAGCACGTGCCACGTGGCGGCGGTGGGCCAGGGGAAAACAACAGCGTGGGCTGATGGAGGGGAGGAGAGTTGCAGCTGCAGGGCATGGGAATGATAAAGAGGAGGATGAAGAGGATGAGGAGGATGAGGAGGATGAGGAGGATGAGGAGGATGATGACGATGATGAGGAGGAGGAGGACGAGGAGGGGATGGGGATGGTTGTGGATGGGTGGAGAGGGGTGTTTGCCATTGGGGCGAGATGGAGGCAGCTGGTGGATCCGTGTGTGCCGGTCGTGTGGATGGAGAAACTCAGGTGCGGTGCATTGCGGTGCAGTGCGGTTGGTGTGAGTTGACTGATGATGAGAGGCTGTGGGGCGAGATGGAGGCAGTTGGTGGATCCGTGCGAGCCGGTCTTGTGCATGGACAGGCTCAGGTGCGGCTGGGGTGCAGTGCGGTTGGGTGTGAGTTGACGGTGAGAGGCATTGGGGCGAGATGGAGGCAGTTGGTGGATCCGTGCGAGCCGGTCTTGTGCATGGACAGGCTCAGGTGCGGCTGGGGTGCAGTGCGGTTGGGTGTGAGTTGACGGTGAGAGGCATTGGGGCGAGATGGAGGCAGTTGGTGGATCCGTGCGAGCCGGTCTTGTGCATGGACAGGCTCAGGTGCGGCTGGGGTGCAGTGCGGTTGGGTGTGAGTTGACGGTGAGAGGCATTGGGGTGAGATGGAGGCAGTTAGTGGAACCGTGCGAGCCGGTTTTGTGGATGGAGAGGCTCAGGTGCAGTGCAGTGCGGTTGGGTGGGGGGGGGATTTGTGGTTGCGGCTCCCTGGTGCACCTCTCTCAGGTGAACGGATGTGTGTGGAGGTGTTTGGCACCTCCCGCCCTCTCACTTGCCGTCTCAAGGAGTGCAACTCCTCGTGGGCAACTCCGTAACATCCATTTTCCTGCAACCCCTTGCACCCGCCCCTGCCCTCTGTATCCCCATCTCACTTTCCGTCTGAAAAAACGCCGAGCCCTCTCTGGTCGGTAACTCCGACATCCATTCCCCTGCACTCCCCTTGCAGACACCTACACCCCCTTGCAACCTTCTGAACCCCCATGCACCCCTCAATTTCCGTCTGAAGGTCCGCCGATCCTTCTCTGGTGGGCAACTCAGTGACAGCCATCTGTGTGTGGCGCCAACTCAACATAAAATATGCCGACAATTATAACAGGTGCGGTGACATGCAGACAGAGACACTACTATAACGGGTACACCGACCCTCTCTGCGTGGCGCAACTGAACATCAAATATGCGGACTATTATAACAGGTACGGCGACATGCAAACGGAAACCTATTAACGGGTACGCTATCAGTTTCTGTTTGGCACCACCTTAGCAAGTTAGATGAGATGCAGCAAAAGACTACTGTAGCGGGTGCACTGACATGCAGACCACTATAACGGGTGCACTGACATGCAGACCACTATAACGGGTGCACTGACATGCAGACCACTATAACGGGTGCACTGACATGCAGACCACTATAACGGGTTCACTGACATGCAGACCACTATAACGGGTGCACTGACATGCAGACGACTATAACGGGTTCACTGACATGCAGGGTGCACTGACATGCAGACCGCTATAACGGGTACACTGACATGCAGACTAGTATAACGGGTGCACTGACATGCAGACCACTATAGCGGGTGCACTGACACTGACATGCAGACTACTATAACGGGTACACTGACATGCAGACTACTATAACGGGTACACTGGCATACAGACTACTATAACCGGTTCACTGAAATACAGAGACACTGGTATCACGAACAGTGACATGGGGGTCAGGAGCTGCTGATCTGCTGATCTGCTGATCTGCTGAGCTGCTGATCTGCTGAGCTGCTGATCTGCTGAGCTGCTGATCTGCCTTACCGCTGTTACCCATGCCTGCTCTGCTCCCGTCTCTTCCTATCAGAACCGTCTCAGTCCTCAAAGCCTGCATGGTGCAGCACGGTGCAACACGGTGCAGAAACAAGTGTGGTCAGCCCTATGAGTCCTATCCTCGAATATCACTAACCGCCAATGCCTGCTTGCTTCCCCCTCAAATCCCAAGAGGATTTTGCAGCAGCAGCGTGTGTTCTCTTGGCACAACAAGCATATCAAATCGACTTCATGGATCGCTACTAACAACAGATCAGTGCTCATGAAGAAAGGCAGCAGTAATAAGAGTCGTTCTAACAAAGAGACGGTACGCTAGTCACTTTGTGAAAATTGTAACCCTTGAGAAAATTGAGTAAGATCCGAACGTACAGCTCAATTCAAACTCTAGCCTTAGGCAAATATCCTATCAAAGCGACCTCATGAATCGTTACTAGCAACAACCATCCCCCGTGCATTCTCTCCCTTTTGAGTCGACTCAAAAGTGTAGCAGCAGGTTGCGTTCTCTTGGGATAACATCCTATCAAAGCCACATCATGAATCGTTACTAACAACAACCATCCATCCCCCGTGCATGCTCCCCCCCCTCCCTGCCCCATCAGGGCCCTATCAGTCCTTCAGAGCATTATGCAGCAGCAGCAGTATGTGCTCTCCAACACGCACAACCATCAACCTCCATGCTTGCCTCGATCCATCTCATGCCTCCCACTAATCAACCTCCATGCTTGCCTGCTCTCCCCCTCCCTGCCCCATCAGGACCCTATCAGTCCTCAAGGGCTTTATGCAGCAGCAGCAGTATGTGCTCTCCAACACGCACAACCAACGAATTCCCCTCTCACAGGCAGATGTCACCAGGGTGAGGCATGGAACATCATTCCTAAGGCTCTCTAACCATATAATGACCAAAGGATTCAAATGGTCGCAGATGCTCTTGCGACTGTACTGCACCCTCCTGGTCGTGTCACTCCAAGCCCCACCCTATGCCTCATTCCTCCGCACCGTTCCTACATGCCCCAATCCCATGTCACATCACATCACATCCATGTCACATCACATCACATCACATCACATCACATCACATCACATCACATCACATTACATCATTTTCCATGTCACATCACATCACATCATTTTCCATGTCACATCACATCACATCAAACCCCATGGCACATCACATCACATCACATCACTCCCCATGGCACATCACATCACATCACTCCCCATGTCACATTCTCACAGGTCCAGGCAGCAGCAACAGAGTTGGTCAGAGATTCTTCTTTGTGACTCCGTGCCATTCCTCCATGACCCGTCATATCACCCCCCCCCCATGACCCGTCAATCACCCCCCCATGACCCGCCATCACCTCCCCATGACCCGTCAATCACCCCCCCATGGCCCGCCATCACCTCCCCATGAGCCGTCATCACCCCCCCATGACCCCTCATCACCCCCCCATGACCCGTCATCAAAGCTTCTTTGTCGTCACTCCTTGCCACTCCATCCCCCATGCCTATCCCCATGCCCCCGTGCCCATCACTCCCCATGCTGCATCATGACAGGTAGATGCAGCAGCAACGGAGTACGACCTGTTTAACATTGTCGGTCAGAGCTTCTTTGTTATGACTCCATGCCACTCCATGCCCCATGCTCATCCCCATGCCCCCTGCCCATCACATCACTCACCATGGCACATCATCACAGGTAGAGGCAGCAGCAACGGAGTACGATCTGTTTGACATTGTCGGTCAAAGCTTCTTTGTCGCGACTCCCTGCCACTCTGCTTCTGTGTGTCCCCTGAATGGTCCAAGGCAGATAGAGGCAGCAGCAACGGAGTACGATCTGTTTGACGTTGTCTGCTGGAGCTTCTTTGTTGTCACTCCGTGCCATTCCTCCATGCACCATCCCATGCCCCATCCCCCATCCCCATCCTAACGTCACCCCACACCCCATACCCCCATGCCCCACCCCATGGCACATCATCACAGGTCCAGGCAACAGCAACAGAGTATGATCTGTTTGACATTGTCGGCCAAAGCTTCTTTCTTGTCACTCCATGCCACTCCATGCTATGCCCCATGCTCCAACCCACTTCATGCCCCCATGCCCCATCACTCCCCTCAGGTCCAGGCAGCAGCAACGGAGTACGATGTTTGTGACATTGTCGGCCAGAGCTTCTTGTCGTCACTCCCTGCCACTCCATGCCCCACCCCATGCCCCATTCCCACCCATGTCACATCGCCCCAAACGGTGCCTCCTCCTCACAGGTCGAGGCAGCAGCAACGGAGTATGATCTGTTTGACATTGTCGGTCAAAGCTTCTATGTCGTGACTCCCTGCCACTCTGCTGCCGTTCCTGGGTATGTGTGCTTCTTGTGTTTTGATTATCTCATAAAGTGATACCCATACAATCTTTTCAACAAAGAAACTTGTTGATACCATTTGATTTGATACCATTTAGTCAGGTTTGTCTCTCTATGATTCACTCTCCATCACACTTTTACCACAATCTCTCGAATGGTCCTTCATTAAATAAGCAAGATAGTACAGCACATTCGTGATACAGCCAAACAAACAAGGCAAGGTCAAACTAAGGCATCTCGAGCTCGGGCTCGAGCACGTGCATGATATCTCCCGTGCTTAGGGGCTCCCCCTGGAAAGCCGTGGGGGCTGACCCAGCCGTAAACGCCGTCAAGGTCTTGGCAGCTAGCGCGGATGCTTGCGCGCGTTGGAGCGTGATTGAGAAACGCTGCCGGTAAGAGTGATAGATTTTCGCAGCCTCCCTAGAGGAAGGCTCGGCGTTGTGGAGGCGCTTAGCGGCGAGGTTTGCGCACAGGCGGAGGTACTCTAGCACTCCAGGGGAGCAATACCCGTATGTCTGAACGGCCATAGCCAGGAAGCCAACCCAAGCTGCTCGTTTGCGGTACTTGTGTTCTTTGCCCCGGGCCGCTATGGCGGCAGCGGTGCCAGGCGCTCTTCGAGCCAGAGGGTCCTGGCGGGAGATGGGGTCAGTGACGGTGATGTCGCACAGCCAGACCGCCGACGTGTCCGGGTGGCGAATGGCGATGTCCGCCTTCAGTCCCTCGATTGGTGTGTACACCGTCGTCTCCACTAGCACGGCGAACCCTGCCTCGGCTGCGATGCTCGCGCATTCGTCGCGGAGGGCGTTGTGGGTGCCAGTGCGGCCCTTCCCCGTTCCGCATCGAAGGAGGTGGTTAGGCAGGCGTGGGTCTGGGATCCCAACTTGCTTATCACAGTCGCAGTTGCCAGGCACAAGTTGCGGCAGTCCTAGGCGAAATGCAGATGCTGAGGCGTGGTGGGGCGGCGATAGGGTAAGGGAGGGGGTGAGCAGGATCGCAGAGAGCCAATCCCCCGCGCCTGGGCCAAGGAGGGATTGGAGACGTTGGGTGTGGCCAGAAAGGGGGTTGAGGTCGAGCCTTCGGCTCTCGTCAAGGATGGCGGCATACCGCTCCGCCTGGACGTGCAGAGAGAGAGAGCGCTGGATCTTGTTCAGTTCCTCTCCTTCCCGTAAACGGGGGAGGAGGGCTAGACCTTCGTGCGGCACTGCTGCTTCCGTAACTGCAAGTCGTCGTGGGAGGGCAGAGCTGCTGGTGTCGTCCGCAGAGAAAAGGGGGAGGAGAGTGAAGATGGTGGGGTGGGAACTCGTCGCAGGTCGGCCGAGAAGATGCACGGACGCCGCAGTGGAAGCAAGGTAACTTGGGAAGCGTTCCACTGCGGGGTCGGCGAGGTTGAGGCCTCCGAGCGTGGCAGGCAGTGAAGCCTGCCGCCAGGTGCGTAGCTGCTCGGACCGTAGCCGCAGCTCTGGAATAGAGGCGGAGGAGAGGTAAGTGCGGTAGTTGCCCTCCCCCCAATCTGACCACTCCTCCTCGGGCAGCAGCTCAGGCGGCGTCGAGCGCAGTAGGTAAGACACGCGGTGGCTGATGCACCTTGTGAGCAGCAGAAGGCAGGTCTGGGGGTCGAGCTGTGACAGGAGCGCAGAGGGAGACACGGCAGTTGCGAGGCGGTCGCGGAGGAAGGCAGCGCAAGCGGCCGCCGGTCCCACGGGGCTGCCCAGGACCTTGAGGCCGGAGACCGAGTAGGGGACGCCGTGTGGGATGTGGGGCAGTGGGCCTGCTGCGGGTGTCCAGGCAGCACATTTCGATGGGTTGTGGATCAAGCCTAGTGGCTCGATGGCGGAGGTGAGTGTATCGAAAGCAGTTGTGCAGTCAGCCCTAATCTCTCTATAATTCACATCATCCACTTCTTTGTGTAGGAATGATGGTACCTTTCCTGGATCTTTCCTGGATCTTTTCTGAATCCTGCAAATTTCTTTCACTTGGCATGGCATCCGTGGTTGCAGCCTTTAGTTCTACCGGTAATATAAAAATAGTTTTTTTTTTCGTGGCCGCCAAACTTGTCATGCACTCCATCATCTTCACCTCTGCCTCCCTGGTGACTTTTGAGTCAACTCAAAAGCCACCACACTTGTCATACTTTTCTCTCCGTCATCTTCACCACTGCCTCCCTTCTCAGCCTTTCTCCCATCCTCCCATTTTCTCCATCCCATATTTCCATTCTCTCCTTCCCATCCTCCCAATCTCTCCTTCCCATCCTCCCAGTCTCTCCATCCCCTCATCCTCCCATTCTCTCCATCCCCTCATCCTCCCATTCTCTCCATCCCCTCATCCTCCCATTCTCCCCATCCCCTCACCCTCCTCTCTCTCTCCATCTCCTCATCCTCCTCCACACAGCACGGTGCTCAATGGTACAGAGATCCTCATACGGGAAGTGGGATCTCTCTTTGAGGTGCATCAGTACTGCCCTCCTTCTCTCATTGCACTCCTCTCTCCTTCCCTTTATCCTCCCCCCCCCCCCTTCCACCTCGTTCTCCTCCACACAGCGTGGTGCTCAACGGTACAGAGATCCCCATCCGGGAAGTGTGAGTGCCCTTCCTGTACCCTTTATAGAATGCACTCTTACCATTACACGCATACATCATGATTCACGCAGGGTGCTTTGCTCTCTCTACAGCCCCCTTCAAATCTCTTGATCCGGGCAGTGCGCGATGATGACCCCTTTGGCCAGTCTGACCAATGGAGCCCCAAACAGGAGCCAGGTCTTTACGTGGCAGCGACTTCAACTCGTAAAAGTTTGCTTGTAATCTCTTGATCCGCGCAGTGCGCTATGATGACCCCCCTTTGGCCAGTTTGACCGGCTTGACTGCAAAAAAAAAAAAAACACAAAAAAAACAACAAAACAAAATCCCGCACCCCCACCTTCCCTTTCCAGCTCATTTCTCTCTCAAACTTTCTATCCACACAACACACCACGTTGGCCAACTGGTCCGGCTTGACGGCAACAGTCTCTTTTTCTCCCCACCCCCACCTCCGTGTGCTTATCACTCCATCCAGCTCCTCCCATTTCTCTCTCGATCTCTCCATCCGCACCACGCGCCATGTTGACCAGTTTGACTGCCTTGAATGCAACAGTCTCTCTCTTCTCCCCACCTCCACCTCCCTTCCCTCTTCTTCCCATTCCAGCTCGTCCCATTTCTCTTTCGAGCTCTTGATCCGTACCACACGCCGTGTTGACCGCGTTGAACAACTTTCTTCCCCTCCCTTCCTTTCCCTTCCCATCTCAGCTCCTCCCATTTCTCCCGCACTACGCGCCGTGTTGACCGCGTTGACCAGCTTGACGGACTTTCCTCCCCTCCCTTCCTTTCGCTCCCTTCTCAGCTCCTCCCATTACTCTTTAAATCTCTCCATCCGCACCACGCGCCGTGTTGACCGCGTTGACCAGCTTGACCGCGAGCTGGGGGCAGCATGGGAGCACCTGTGCGGACTCATGGCTGATCGGATAAGGACAGGCGGAGGGACGGGTGGGCATGGAGGAAGGACAGTGGAAGCTGCCATTCTGCGAGTTGCGTACTTTTGGTGAGAGTGCATGATGACATGCCAGGGGGATGGGGGCTGGGGGCAGCATGGGAGCATCTGTGTGGACTCATGGTCGATGGGGGAGGGACGGGGCATGGAGGAAGGAGAGTGGAAGCTGCCATCCTGTGAGTAGCGTACTTCTGGTGAGCACTCGTGACCGCGTCGACCAGTTTGACCGGGAGTCATTCACAATTCAGTCATTCACCAATCTCATTACAATCACAATGTGCATCACTATCGTAACGCATTCACCCAGGTATCAAGCGCTTCCCCTGTCAAGAGGAAAGGCATGGTGGGGCGTGCCACGCTCCTCTTGTGGTGCTCGACTAATGCAGCAACGTCCCATTTCTGTCACAATTCTAAGGGCGGAACCCTCTGTTTATCTGAGCCCCCTTCATCAAGGTATCAAGCGCTTCCCCTGTCGCGAGGAAAAGCCTTGGTGGGACGTGCCACGCTCCTCGGTCTTTTCCTGCAGTGCTTCGCTAATGGAGAAGTTTCTCATTGCAATCACAATTCCATGTGTTCGAACACTATCTTAATGCATTCACCCAGATACCAGGCACTCCCCCTGTCTCGAGGAACAGCCATGGTGGGATCTGCAACGCTCCTAGGCCTCTTCCCATGGTGCTTGCAGCAGCATCTCAATGCACTCAAAATTCCATGCACTTTCTGTTCATCACAACCCCTTTCATCCAGGTATCAGGCAATGCCCCTGTCCCGGGGAACAGCCGTGGTGGGGTATGCCACGCTCCTAGGCCTCTTTCTGGCTGCTGGGAAGGAGACCACAGCGAGCATCCCCCCACGAATGCAGGTACGATTGTTTGCATTCTATGTTCCACATTGGTGATAGATGAATGAAGCGACAGGGGAGTGTACAGCTCTTCCTGGCCTCTTCCTGACTGCTGGCGAGGGCCTGGCAGCAAGGGTGTCCCCCAGTAGGTAGGTATTTTGGGGCACCGCAATTTGTCCTTCAGTAGGTATTTATGCACTGTATGCAGGTTTTCTCTTACCCCGTAGGTTTACTTGAAAGCATGGTTAACACCCGATGTGTTTTGGTTGACCATATGTCTGTATGCATCAGCATTCTTTACCCTTACCGGGGTGTATCCTTCGTACCTGTCAGGTGGACTGGGAGGCAATGCTGACACCCACAGTGGATGACTTTATATCGAGAATGTCAGAGTGGATGTACCCGTCTATTGTCGATGCAAAGAGATTCCACAGCTTGCATGGCATCCACCAGGCATTCCCCACTGTAGATTCAGTGCTAAAGATGATGGCTGATGTCTAGGCAAGTGCTTGTAGTTGCGTCGGAGTGGATGTATCCATCCATTGTTGATGCAAGAATCCACAGCTTGCCTGGCATCCACCAGGCATTCCCCACTGTAGAGTCAGTGTTAAAGATGATGGCTGATGTTAAGATTGTTGGTCATGCTCCTGCCTTCAGCAAATGACATTATATCGAGGATGTCGGAGCGGATGTATTTATCCAACACAAGTACAACCGCTGTTGCTAAAAACAATCGTCGAAGGAATGGGTAATGAAGTAGGAACCCTGAAATGGAGCGCATGCACTCCCTTCTTATCCTTCAATTCGTATATGGTAGTTTTACAGAGGTCCTTCTAAGCCTTCCACCCTTCCTTTGGAGGTCCTACTACCGTGAGTCTTGTTGCTATAGCATTGGTTTATGTTTACTGAGCCACAGTAAACGGCCAACTGAAGAAATGTTACCTGGTATATGAAATGCGTTCAGAAAGCATTGTCGAGGTGAAGGCTCACTATCAAAACTAGACAACACAACCGGCTTTGGGGGATGAGAAGAGCGTGTTGACTACTATTGAGGCCTGGAACGCTCTACGCACACTGATCAATTCACACTAGGTCGTCCTGTCTTCATGGTCTCCCCTATTTTAAAATCCCAGGCCGGGGCGACCGGACGGGTCGGGTATCTGTATCCATTCTATATAGTGCCTACCGTATGTATTTGTACAACCATTCTGACCAGATTTCGGGTCGGGTCATTATCGAGTCAAAACTTGACCCCGCCTTGCCCGATTGCTGTAATCCAGCCAAGACTGGACTTGAACCGCCGTGGGCAAAAACCTGACTTTTAGACCCGGTCGGGACAGGTCTACCTCACCTGGCCGGACCTCAACCTCAAACATATGCACCTCAACGGTTCTACCGCACAGACAAAAACGTTCCGTTGCCGGAACTTGAACCCAGGTCTCTCGGGTGAGAGCCGAGTATCCTAACCGACTAGACTACAACGGATGTTGATGTGAGGTTAAGATATGTTCATAGTCCATACGAATTATTAGCAACTAAATCAGCAAGCTATACAAATCAACCCACTGCTCCACCTACTAACTAGCATCAGCCACCATCTCGTACAAAAGAAACATTTTCCTCTCACACCTCAAAACTTTGTTGAGAGAGTTGAATGATCAGCTGAAGCACCACACAGTCCGGGTGAAGGGAGAAGGCGCATTATACAGCGTGAGACACAACCTCGATCTTGGCTGGAACTGCTACAACAAACTGATGGAAAAGAGAGTGACGCAGCGCGAAAGGAGACGTGGTAGCACTTCTCCAATGGCGATGGGACGTACACCACCATGCGGTTACTTTAGAGCGACGAGGTTTGAAGCAGTGTAGAACGGCCTGACTGTAGGTGGAAGATTGCCTTGCAACCAGTAAGGGAAGATGTGAGGAGATGCTGCTGGTTGGAGAGGAACGTGTCCCGACGATGCTCAATAAGCCACCCAGAAGGTCTCGTAGCTGTGCCACGGGGGGGGGGGGGGGGGAGGGTGGGGGGGGGGGACTGTGGGGCGGCATAGAGGGCAGGAGTTGTTTCCTTACGCAGTGTCGTCAAATTTGTTTTTTCCCTCTAAATCAGCTACCGTACTGGTACTTTGGAGACGAAAACAGCAATGAGTAGATCAGGTCGTGGCTGCACATCGGAGATAGGAAAAAAAAAAACCCACAGCTCTCAAAAGCTGCTGTGCCAGCCGGGAATCGAACCCGGGTCTGCACCGGGCTCATGGCATGGTGCTATTCTACCACTAGACCACTGGCACGCTGGATGAAAATTGTAGAGCAGATAAAGCGTCTGACCGCTTACGTACTTTGTTTCCACAGATTCTAAGCAGTCTCTTGCCACTACTGCTGCATCATCTACCATAGGCCGATGGTAGGTGAAAAAAGGACCTATAACTGCCATTGTATTTTGATCCGCGTCAGCAGGTCCTCAAAGGGAGATCCCATTCGCATTACTGCTTCGTCATCTGGTGGTTGGTGAGAAAAGTCACTATCTAGTCACTTCCTTTCTTCGTTTATCCGCTTCAGCAGGTCCTCAATTTGACACTCCATTGCCATTATTGCTGAGTCGTCTACCATAGCTTGATCACTGACAGATGCGGAGAAATAAGTGTTTCACAGGTGCGAAAGAGGGAGGGAGAAGGTTTGGGAAAGAGGGCAATGAGGCAAGGAAAGGATGATTGGGTGAGCCAGCAAGCGCTGCATCGTCTACCATAGCTTGATCACTGACAGATGCGGGAAAAGAAGCGTTTCACAGGTTGGAGAGAGTGGGAGAGAGTGGGAGAGAGTGGGAGAGAGGGGAGGAGCGGGCGGGGGGCAGGGAAAGGAGGCAAGGGGAGGAAGGCTGGATGAGTCAGTGGCTATACAGATGGGAGCAGGCATGCGCTGTTTGCAGCATGGCGGCAACATGCCCTGTTCGGTGCAGACTCATTATGCAGCATGGCGGGACAACACAACTTACCATGAGCACTAAAAACAGAAGTTCCAATAACACACCAGCAGAATACAGCAAGAAAGACATGGTATGCACACTAACCACAGGTTCCAATAACACACCTGTTCGGTGCAGACTCAACTTGCAGCATATGTACTGAATTGTTAGGCGCCCCTAAAATAGCGCATCTGTTCTGTACAGGTTCATGTTCCAACACCGAGTTTTAAGCAGCCTAAGTAAGAACCACGGCATGCACACTAAGCTAGACCTGAATGGCCGCACCTGTTGTGTCTGGGTTTGTGGTCCAACGCTGAGCGGGCCTCTTCAGTAAAGGATAAGGGCTAAGCAAGGCCGCACCTGATGTGTACGGGTCGTGGTCCACTGTACACAGGGCTGAGCGCACTGCGTACAGTGCTCTCTCCACATACAGTGACACTCAGCAACATGGTATGCGCACCAAGCAAGGGTTTTGAGGGTTTAAAGGCCGCACCTGTTGTGTATGGGTTCGTGGTCTAGTGCTGAACGCACCTGTTGTGTCAAAGCTAAGGGAAAAGGGCTAAGCAAGTGCCAAAACAAGGCCGCACCTGTTGTGTATGGATTCATGGTCCAGAGCTGAGCGCACCACGTACAGAGAGCTCTCCCCACATACAGTATAGCCCAGCAACATGGCATGCACACACCTACCAAGGACTAAAGGGCACACCTGTTTTGTATGGGTTCATGATCCAAAGCTGAGCGCACGACGTACAAAGCTCTTCCCACTATGTCCCTCACGTGCACGGGACCCAGAGTGCGGCTGTCAACAGCCACCTGCGAGGGAGGGGGAATAGGGATAGAGAACGAGCAGATGTATTGGGGCAAGAGAAACGGCAGAGAAGGAGAAAGAGCTTTGAAATGCTGTCCTCTCAAGTCTCACTGCACTGGGACTGGGACCAAGAGCACGGCTACCAAGGTCCTCCTGGGCGGGAGATAGAGAAGGTGAAGAGCTTGGGGCCCAGGAGGACCTTGGTAGCCGTGCTCCACCTTCCACACCTTACACTTCTCCACGTACCCTTCTGCACTGGGACCAAGAGCACGGCTGCCAAGGTCCTCCTGGGCGGACCTTGGGACCACACCATACACTTCTCCACGTACCCTTCTATACTCGGCCTTGAACATACCATTCTCTTTCCGGGTACATTATTATCATCCTGAACATACCATTCTCTTTTCCGGGCACCCTTACGTACATTTCTCGTTTCCAGGTATCCTTAAATAATCACCCTTGATTCTTGACCATACCTTTGCAGGAACCGTCGGATCATCAGCAAGCACCCAGAACTGGTCCTTGTCTATCCGAAACGGCTCATCCGACGGCTGAGATGACACCATCTCGTCTCCAGCAACGGCTGCGACACGCCGAAAGATCAGTGGGAACGAAGTGGGTGCTGCTTCCGCCTTGGCAGTGGCTTCTGACTCAGAACGTTCTGAATCAGAACCTTTTGATTTGGAATCTTCTGGATTGGCTTTGTGAGTCGACTCAAAACTGGATGCAGCTTTTGCCTTGGGAGTGGCCTCTGAGTCGAAACCTTCTGCGTCGGCTTTTTGAGTCGACCCAAAAGTGGGTGCTGCTTTTGCATTGGGAGTGGCTTCTGAGTCAAAACAGGCTGGTTCTGTGCCATCGGCAGCCGGGGAAGCAGAAAAAGCAGGAGAAGCAGGGGAAGCAGGAGAAGCAGGGGAAGCAGGAGAAGCAGGGGAAGAAGAGGAGGCAGCAGAAGCAGAAGAAGCAGGAGAAGCAGAGGTAGCAGCAGAAGCAGGAGAAGCAGAGGTAGCAGCGGGAGCACATGCAGAAGCAGGAGAAGCAGTAGCAGAAGCAGATGCGGCAAAAACACGTGTGGGGGCGACTTGGAAGGCCACCACGTCTCCAACGGAAATGGTACTGCCACGGGAGAGGGCGGATTGAGGGGTTACAAGGAAGGGCGGGATTGGGTTGGCAATAACAAGTTTGCAGCCGACTTGGAAGCCCACCACCACATCTCCAACGGAAATGGTACTGCCTGCCACGGGAGAGAGCATGTGGACTATGAAAATGGCTTATAAGGAAAGGCGGGATTGGGTAGGCGTAAGGAAAGGGTTGGATAGGAATCCAAGACTGCAACCTCTCGAGCAGACACAGCAGCCTTGGATCCACTCTGCGTGCAGACACAGCAGCACGCTGAGGAAGCAAGGACGAATAAAATAATCCTTATGCCCATCACATGCGGGAAGAATATGTATAAACATATTAATAAACACGACCGCTGCCACAATAGGACCATAATGTAAAGGTCAAATCCGATAAGACCTAGTAGTCACCGAATCCCACTGTCGTCAACTGCGGAAGGGGCAGCACAAACACTCATTCTCTACCGAATGGGCGGCACACTCACTGCCAAAAGGGGCGGAACACTCACTCATTGCCAAATGGGGTGGCCCACTCACTCACTTCCAAACGGGTGGCACACTCACTGCCTCACTGCCCAAAGGGGCGGCACACTCACTCCCAAACGGGCGGCACACTCACTTCCAACTGGGCGGCATCAGAAACCGGTAGAGCACCCACTCGTCCTTCATCCCCCTTATAGTCGGCCTCATGGACTCGTCTCCCAACAAAGAACGCGGCAAGGATGTGAGATATGATTTCTCGTGCTGGACGATCTTGTTCAGAGATCGCACTAGGGTGGCGATGGGAGGGAGCTGCCCTTGATGCTGCTCCATGTGAGCCTGCAGTGAGTCAGGGGGGATGGACAGGCAGGAGGGAGGGAGTCAGTGCTGTCATACAGGGTTTCGCATGCTGCCATGTGTGATGATTTCGCCATGTGTGATGATGCCTCATGCTGCACGACCCTGTTGGGAGCTCTCACTAGCTTGGGAAAGAGGCGGAACTGTCCTGGATGCTGCTCCACGTGCGCCTGCAAAAGCAAGGGGGGGGATGGGCATGAGGAAGCAAGGGTGTCATATGTCAATTCAGCGACCTCACTGGCTTGGCAATGGGGGGGGCATCCCCCTGATGCCGCTCCATGTGGGCCTCCATGTGGGCCTGCAATCAGAATGTTGCTCACCCGCACTAATAGCATAATGCTATCACACCCCAGCAACTCCACCTCTCACACCATCACTCACGCGCAGTAGCACGGTGTTATACAGAGAGAGCACTTCCCTTCTGCCCCGAATGTTGCTCACCCACTAATAGCATAATGCTATCACACCCCATCAACTCCACCTCTCACACAGGAGCACGAAGCTGTGCAGGGAGCACTTCCCTTACGCCGTGAAGACGAACCCCGGAACCCGTGCATGAAGCACCACCAACCAGCACTAACAACAGCCAACACCATCGCGCACACAATAACTCACGCGCATCAGCACGTAGCTGTAGAGGGAGCACTTCTGAGTCACGTATTTCAGTCGCATCAACCACGATGCCATCGCGCCTGCTCTGCTCTCCCAGCTGAGCCCTCCTGTTGCTAGGGATGGCTTAGCTGCTCGTCAGATCCGCTCGTCTGGTGGTTACCCGTCGTCTGCTATTTCAACGGCAGCGGTTGAAATTGCTCAACGGTATGATCCTCGAACCGCATTCACGAGCACGCGAAGCAGCAAGAGTAACGATACGGTCAGCAAAGCAGGCGACGCGGCTTCGACGCCGGGAGTGGCTTTAGTGCACCGTGTCTGATCGTAAGAGCGAAAACCGCTAACCAATGTCGAGAACAAGCGATGCGAGCACGATAACAATGACGGCAAAGCCTCGTGATAAAGAGTTGTTTCTGAGACGGCTCAACGACGATACTGACGGCCAAGCCTCAGATTCTAGGGTTTTCTACACAGAAGATACGCAGCAGCAGACGACTGCGAAACAGATTTGGCGATCGGGTGACGATCGCGCATTGAATCTACCCGCTACAAGAATCGAGCAGCGCGGATACGAGACTACTGCACCCCCTGCTACTCGAACAGCCAAGGACAGATGGAGAAGCGAGAGACCATAGAAAGAGGTATAAGGTGTTCTATTCGTTATCGGTTCCTCTTTCTAAGGTATGTGGATGGGATAGCTGGAGGAGCCATGTCTATAATAGTAAGGAAGAATTGGTGCAAGGGCGCGTTTATAATCAGCATGTCAAGAACAGATGGAGACGTGAGAGACCATAGAAAAAGGTCTAAGGTGTTCTATCCCTTATCGTCCCCTCTTTCTAAGGTATGCGGACGGGATGGCTGGAGGAGCCATGTCTACCTAGTTTGCTATGAATTTCTAGGAAGATTATATTAGCGGATTGATGCGAGGGCGCGTTTATAATGAGCATGTCATTCGGCTGGGCGTTCTGTTGTGTTATCTTGGAAATTGGGAGGCAACCCACATTGTTCTCGTGGGAGTTTCGCAAATGACGGTTGGGTGGAAACGAGAAAGCCGACAATAACGACGGTCGTGAAGGCCAATGAACTGCTTTTTGAACACGTTTACTCAACTCTTGAAACGTAGTTACCATATAGCACAGCCGCTCAGGCTGCGGCTCACATCGGCTCCTTCAGCCACGGTGCGGCGTTGGGTTCGGCGGGTGTTGCGACTCGCGCGATCAAGGCGAAGCAGAGTCTGCATGCGGCGAAGAAGCTGTACGGGATTCGTGCGGAGAAGGCGAAGGGGA